AATTCGGTTCGCGACCAGAGTCACGGAATGAATTAAGTTCGTGAACCGAGGTACCACTGTATTATGAAAACTTTTCATATTTCTATATTCAGTGGTAGTGTAGAATCACAGGGTAACTTAACAGAGTTAGAAGAAGGCCATTATAATAATCTTTTCTAATCCAATCTAAAAGAGAATATGTACTAGCTAAACCATTCATACTTGATGGCTATCCACTTCCCAGATACTTGCTATATTTTACCTCATGTAAAGCCAATCTTTCTTGTGTGAAACCCAAATATACCATTATGGTTTTTCTCAATTAGTAAGATGAACAGTTGCCAACATTAATCTAGAACAATGCCAGTGAGAAGGCAAAGAAAGTCATGGTCATAACAGGGGGATGGAAGGGAGATGAGGAACAGCATTTTTTTCCCTGTATTATTTAACAAATGCCATCCCATCAATAAATTTCTGTCCCCAGACTTAAAAAAAAGTGTGGATAACAAAAATATTTTCCCCCTCCCCAGGGAGGTAGGGGAAACCCTATATTTTTGCTTGTCATATTCAAACTACCAAGAGACATATGCAGAGAAATGAGACAGAGATCAGAGGCAATAAGTATGTAACTCAGTCTAGCTTGCAGCATTTACTTTGGCTGCCACCTATATGGGAGTCCCACTGCATTATTACTGATGCTCAGTGCAAGCATGGGGGTTCCTGTACATCTCTACATGTGATCACAAAAGCATGATGAGCAATGAAGTTGTGCAATATTTGAGTTGGGCTTGGTGGAAAGGTAACCTATACCTGGCCCTCTTGCAGTGTGTTGTAGGTGTGCTGCAATAACTTGTAGAGTGTTTTGTGCATCAGTTCCAGGTAAGGGAGGATCTGAAGAAAGAGTTGAGATTTAGATGACTACATATTGTGCTAAGAGTAAGCACAGTTCATTCAATAATTTGCTTCTGTTAAAAGAATCATGACATTTGTTTTTGTTTCAACAACATTCAAAACAGCTACAACAAGTAAATAACAATAGAAGTGATAGCCAGGATTCATAGGATTGATGGGAGAAAGACAAGATTATCACATGGCAAAATATTTGTTAATTCCTTCTAATAATCTACACACACATATACACAAACACACACACACACACATACAGAATTAAAAAGTCACCAAAAATATCAGGGGCTCTAAAATTACAACAGATTTAATATCCAGTGTAATTGTTAAAATTATACAGAATAAGAGTGATTAATGTCTTAAATTAAATGGTATTTAAATGTTAATTTCTCTGACCCTTGACCCTAATGAGTTATAGTGCAGAATAATTATTGTAATCCACTTCACTTTTTGGATTATGTCTAACATTTGTTGAAACAGAAGTTGACTTGGGCTTACTTTTAGTTGGGTTATCTTTAACTGTTCTCTCTTTTTTAATCCATTCAGTCGTGTCTCATTCTCGGAGACTGCGTGGATAAGTCCCTGCAGTTTTCTTGGCATGGTTTTTGGAAGTGGTT